GGGCATGTACTACTGAAACAAATAAATTTTGCGAAATCCAGCTTCACCAACAAAGAGGCAGAAAAGCGCAGTCGAACTTGTCAAACGTTGGTAATTCCTTTGTGAGCCAATCAAAATTAAGATTATTCGTGAAATGAATTCGTGGAGTATTCATAGAGTAATTATTAGTAAAAACTGGTTGGATTAACAACCTTTAATAGATAGAAAAGCCGGTGCGTTTTGGTAACTCTACGTTTCAATAATGGCTTTTATGTCATGTTGCTTAGCAATAAAAGTATAATCTAACATTTTTATTTTTCCATGTATTGAAAGTGTGAAATGAAATGTATAGACAACAAAACTGGAAAAATATTTGTCGATTTCTTAATTTAGTCTCTGTTGATTAAAGAGGTTTGTTTGTGTTATTAATAACGTTGATGATATAACAGAAAATAGATTAATTTAGAAACGATTTAACTTTAATTTTTGAAATTTAATCGATATTTTTACTTTCATAATAAATATCATGCACTTGGTTCTAGGCTAGGTGATCCCACACTACGTCTTTTCTTCAGGCTTATTATACCAACACTCACTATACTTATAAGGTTTCACGGCACCCCTCCCTTAAGACCCTCGTCAATAACATTGTAACGGGCAGACAGTAATCGAACTATTCTATCAGAAAAAATGCATTGGTTTTTATGACTCCTATTTCGAGATTTCAAGGGTGACGCGATACACACTAGCTTTTATATAGGTTAGATTGGTAGTTTACACAATGGCCGAGTATGTAAAAAATCGGCAGCAAAGTAGTAGCCGTAACTGCAGCCGAGATTTAGTATTTTTAACATGCATCGATTTTCACTTTCAGTGTTACTTCTTTAGGATAAATATATTACTATTAACCTATTATGTAAACACACACACACACAATTGCCAAAAAATATCTCGGTGTCTTCCAAATAATAAAATATAATTAAATGATGAGCGCCACAAAGTAATCTTACAATTGTGATTGTCATTTCTACTTCTTATCGTTGTTTTTCAAATAAAATAATATTCAAAAATTAAATTTAAGATGGTTTTTATACAAAGTTTAAGCTTTAAGTGTGTTACTTTTAACTTTAAGTTGTTTTTTTCCCTCAAGTATGCTGATAAACAAGATGAAAACAAAATTAATTCATATACCACAGCACATCATTCATTTTCAGTTGAATTTATTACCTTAATTTAATTTACAAGACGGAATTGTCAGCAAAAATCAGAGGGGGATATATAAGTCTGAAAAATTGCTGAAGTAGCTAAATATAGTCATCCTGTTACACATTGACAGCATATTGACCTCTTATACCTGCACATTAAAAAAATGTATAATTTTTTTTTATTATGAAATAGAATCACGTTATTTCGTTGGTTTCACCCTGTTTTTCTTTTTTTTTATCGCAAAAGCTATACAATGAGCTATCTGCACTATGGGGAATCAAACCCTAAATTCTAGTATTGTAAGTCTAGAGACTACATTACTGTTATTTATATAATAATAAAACAGTTGCTGACAGCATTATAGCAATGACCATAGTTTACCATTTTACAGTTGCTGAATACTTGCATAAGTTGGTAGTTGCATTGATAATATTATTGATTTATTAGGCATTTTATGCACATCAGTAATAAAACAAGTATGATTTAAATATAAAAAAATCTAAAAAATACCTGTATTCCTTAACTGATGTAAAACGTAAAAATAAATAATAATAATCAAAGTATAAATTGTATTTTACAATATACACAGTCACATAATAAATAGATGCAAAATGAAATACACCACTTTTATTCATTGTTTTAGACCAAACAATTCTAAAGAAAGTTTGTTCTTAGATTTAAACAACAATACTATACATACACGTGCATCCAATAGGAAACTGACTCACTGATAAGAGAATCTAAAAACAAATTCAAATACAATATTTTGGTTATTATTACTTAGCTAACCTGCATATGAAAAGGTTTGGTTGCCAGTAAGCACAAAGCTACACAGTAGGCTGCTCACCACAGATACTGAAGCTCAATTTTTAGCATCATAAGCCTAGTGACTTACCACTCAGTCACTGGGGGGCTGTAAAGGTGGAATGTGAAGCTTATGAAATGAAAGGTTTTTCTCTGTAAAATGAGTATATCATTTCAATGTATTGCCTAAGTCAACAAGGTCATATTCCTAGAAAACCAATTTTAAACTAACTTATATATATATATATATATATATTACTATCACATAGGTTGTATTAGACATCTACAGCTACACCCAGTCTAATTATACTTGAAATTCTTCTATACTTGTATACCAGATTCACAAGAACAGGCAGAACATAGTAAAATCATTATGAAGTACTTACTAAAAATAAGAAAATGGCTAATGCTAAGAATCTTATAAACTATAATCATATTAATAACCAATAGATATGATTAGTTTTGCATGCTCTCTATAGAAACACAATATATATGTACAAGAACAAAATTACTTTTTATCAATTGTCTGTTTAATGATGCCTGATACTTTAAAACTAATTAATTATTTCTAAAACTTTCTTGTTTTAGAAGCAGGAAGGTAAATGATGTCAGAAAGATCAAAAGATAAGACAGGTGTTTTTCAATCAATCTTAATTTGCTGGCGAACAAGAGTTCTGTTAGCATGCCTTGATTGAGTTATAGAAGGCAGTTTTATGTCAAAAGATTTAGTGGATGTGCTATTTCGAATAACCTTTGGACTAGAAAAACAAAGACTGCTCTGGTATGGAGATATTCTCCCTCTTCTTGATTTATCAATAGATATCTGCTCATCTTCTAAAAAATCTTTGAAAGAACTGTCTGAGCTTTCACTGGATCTTCTGGTGAAGCTTCCATAGGTACTTGTCTTAGGCTTTCCACTGGATGTGTGTATTGGAGGAAACATTCTGCTACCTTCTTCTTTAAATGAACTTGCTTTATCAGAAGAACTAAATGCTTCTGGATGCATCCATTCTCCCTTAGAAATGCTACCACATTTTGGAATATAAGATTTTCTTAGAGAGATACGTTTGAAGAAGCTTCCCTCCTTCAGCTGTTGCAATTGGGTTGATAGATAGGAAATAGTCCCACATTTTAAGTCTAATTCTTTCTGGAGGTTTAAAATCACTTCATCTCTAGCTGCCAATTCTCGATGATACTGTGATTCTTGGATTTTCAACTGTTGCTGCAGGGTATCATTATGTTCGAGGGAAACTTCCAGTTCTTCTGCTAATTCCTTGTTTTTCCCTTGCCATTGTCTGACTGAAGATTCTAGAGCTTCAACTTTGCTTTCATGAAGAACTAAATGAAACATAAAATCCACTATTTTAAAATCCAGAAATGCATTTATATTCAATCTTATTCACTCATCAATTCTTTCACTCATAGAACAGTCATAGGGGTTTCTTTACCTGCTTCAATATTAGTTTACTCATTTCTGAGAGATCTTATTATAGATAGAATTTAAATATAAACAAAGTCAGAAAGGATATAAAAAAAAAGAGATAGAAAAAACTACTTTCTGTTCTTTGCAAGTGTATATTAATGTTTGACATGGTCAATTCTTCTAAGTGAACTTACAGCATAAAATTAGTTAAAATGAGTTATTACAAGTTTAAGGATGCAAGTAAGGTGATAAGAAAACTGCCTTACAGATAAAGTTTACCCAGAATTGATGTTATTTTTATTAACATAATATTTTAGAACACTTATCAATAGCTTCTGACAAAAGCAATCTACTTACACAGATCAGAATTAAAAAAAGAAACCAGTAAGTAATGCAGCTCACTTAATAAACCAGTCCATCAAAGAATATGCAATGTCGTAAAACAAAACCTATTATATTTAGAAATCACAAATTCATCAGTTGGGTACCCTTAGTGTTATCAATATTTTTGGCCATAATTTCAAACTTATTTTATTTTAAACTAACCAGTCAACGTACCTATACACTTCCCTTCCTTCCTACTTGTCTGACTGTTTTAATATTAAGGAAACTACATGAATCTATTTTTGTATTTAGTGAAAGTTCATCCTCTTACTTAGATTACAGCAAAAATTTGCAACTGAAGTTAGTACAAAACAATGACTTTTTTTACCTTGACACATGGCAGGGGACTCTTGTACGACCAATTTCAACTGCAGCTCTGCAAAGAAGCATTAAATTAATTTCACAGTGCTATTCTTATAACTTATATTACTCCTGACTAATATACAGTGTATTAATTCAGAATTTGTGATACAAAAACATTAAAAGGAAATTACTCACTTGAATTGGTACTGGAAAATTGCACTGGATTGTATCCATGATAAGCCTCTAAATATATACAGATTCAATAATTTGTTTGATTGTTGTTACTGTGCAATTAAGTATTCATAAAGTTGGCTAATAATTGAGTTCATATGTTGTCCTCCTTTGATGTATTGGTCCACATATTTAAGCTGATCTGGAACATTGTATATGTATAATGTTTCAATACTTAAGCATAATTTTCATGAGTGATGTGGGGAACATGCCCCCCCCCCCAATTTTTTTAATAAGATTTTTATAGAATATCTTCATGCATATCCAGCTACAGAAATTGTCTTTCTCCATACTTTTTAAACCAAAGTTGCATCACTGTTTCAGTATATTTATGAAATTTTTTAAACAAGGAGTTTATAATAAGTTTTTAGCCTCTGTATCACCGAGCCAATAAGCAGTCAAAACATTATTTAAGAATTAGGAGAAGATTCAAAGTTAACTAAAGATTACTGTTACTGTAATTATGGAGTTTAGTGTTTTAAACTGTTCACAAAATGAGCTCAGCTCCTTTGCCTTGAATGGACTAAATTTTATTGTGATAGTGTTGGCACATAATATCTGTTTTATATACATATGACACTTAAACAAATAGTTTTGGTGACTTTAAGAATGTTTTTAAAAGTGAATGAATAATACTTCCCTATTTTCATCTCTCAAATAAAACATTAGGCTTTGTTTCCCAAGACTTCTTTGGGAGATTTATCAACGCAGAAATGATCTGTGTTAGACCAACACATTATATCTAGTGTCATAAGTGGCTGTGACTGTTAGAAATGGCTACAGAAAATGAAAAAGTGGGTCTTAAACAGTAAATAAAAGCAAGTGACAAGAAAATTCATACAGAGGAAACAGAACATGTACTTAAAGAAACTTTCTTATTTTGCACATAAAATATCATAATTATCCAACAAGAGTTTATATTTAAATATAGAGATCTGTACCTCTGCATTGTGACTGCAGCTGATCAATTTCTTTGTGAAGCCCTTCCAAGACCTTTGCATGTTCAGCCTGAAGAAAAGCCAGTTGACTCCAAGCAGCTCGGACCTGTTCCTGAAGCCGTTGAAGTTGATTAGAATCCTCAGGAGGGAATTTGGAACATTCTTCCACAAATCTTTTCAAGGTAGTATCAGAGCGAAAGTACAACGGTCTAGGATTAGGCTTAACAATATTTTGTTTCTGTGGCATAGGATAGGGCACTGGGAAGATTTCTGATACTGCTGCCATTTCACAGTTTCTTATGCTTTTGTTCTAAACACTCATTCTTATGTATGTTATATTAGCTAACAATTACATTCATGATGGAAACTCCAGCAGTTACCGACCTAAAAAACTAAAATAAAACCAAATTTTACCGAGACGTAATGACAACAATGTATTAGGAGGATGAAATTTTAAAACAGAGTCAAACCTTAAAAACCTCCAATAGGTAGTTACAAAACACGGTAAAAAATATAATAAATGAACTATAAAGTATCTTCCTATCTTAATTCATTTTACATAAGTTAAAAGCAAAATAATGGGTCTCACTTTAAAGACTACAAGAATCAAATTCATGGACCTTTTGCTGATTAAACGTTAGTTCACACAGAACTATAAACACTATTTCATCCACTTACTTACTACGACACAGTAAGTCGTAAACATTACAGAAAAGCAAATTATCCCTGCTTCGTTGGGTAGCTATGACTACCACCTTCAGCTGTGGCAGCATACAAAACTGGGCTATAATTTATTCATTTATTGCATTCTGAAAATTAGTGATTTTACATTATGAAAAAACAACAACAAAAAACAAACACGAAAAGCAGTTTTATTTATATTGTGATATTATACACTAAATAATAATAACTTACATTAAAGTTTCTATCGCGGATCATTCGTATCGCACAGCTGTTTACAATGACGCTATTTCCGTTAATGCAAACATAGATGTCGTAGATTTGCGACCGGAAGTATGACATCATTCAAAGGTGCACCTTCTAGATCAGATTATAAATGACTCACAACGGTTAGAAATGACGTATAACATCAAGTTTACTGAAAATAAATAAAAAAGGAAAGAGTACACACAATGTTTTGTTGAATATAACCCAGCTTTAACAAGTATGAAACGGCGTGTGTACTTTTCCTTTTTTTAATACACTGTATGCTATATTCCATTTCATTGTTATTTTCAATTCCATTGTTATTTTCCTTATATATATATATATATATATATCATATTTGTCCTGCCGGGACTCTAACATCAAAATCTGTTTAGTTTTTTTTAAAGATATGTTTGTTATTGTTCGTTTGTTGTTAAACACGTAGGTACACAATCGACTATCAACCCTGTACACACCACCGGTACCGAAACCAGTTTTTTTTAATGATAATAAACCTAAAAACGCCTCTGATATCTTTGCTGTTATCGTACGTATAATACATATTTGCATATGGCCAGTTGAACAAAAAGGTGAACAGTGTTGGGTGATTCAGTGTCTTACTCATACGTGCTGTTGATGACCAGGTTTTTTTTATGTGTACTCCTTTAAATTTTTACAGATTGTATTCCATATCACATTTTAATGCACCATTTTTACCCATATGGCAACTTTATTCATTTAACAAATGTTATTAAAAAGCAGATAGTAACTACTAGCTGATGTACATGTTAAACATACGGGTAAGACATAGGTCCCCCTGGACTGACACAGGAGATTAAACCCGAACACCGATCACCCTGTGTCACTTCCACTGAGGTCCTAATGATATATGCCACGTTTGGTGTTAATCGGTCTGGTGGTTCGTTAGTCATAAGTGGACAGACACATTCATGTAGAATTTCGTGAAATATACTTATTTTCAGAAATATAC